ATTCATTGAAAAAGGCACATATCCCCAAAAAGTTTCATGAGAAGTACGGGCTCAATTACAGAAACACAAATACATTCATTTCATTTAGTAATTTTTTTAAAAATGTCACCAAGCAGAATAGCAAGCACAAAGTATGCCTTTGTTTGGCATCACACACCTTGACCCAACTTGAGGAAAACTCAGAGGGAAAAGACTGAATTCTTAGCCTTGCTTTTGTTATTCCCTCTGCAGCCATCAAAGTATCATCAACAAAAATTAATCCATTCCCATCTCATGGGTTGAAAACACCAAAGGGCATCCAGGTTTCTCCAGGCCAGCAAACTTTTAGAGCTTTCAACAATAACAAACAGCCCACTGCAGCATATGTGCCATAGATTCACCACCACTGCCCTAGAACATGGATCCACCTTTGGGCCTCACCTCTACTTAAACCCCCTTAATGATAAAGAGAATAGTTTACTGAATCAAAGTTTCTCCACATGAAATTCCAATCAAGAACTCTGTGCCTCAAGTTGGTCAACAATATCCAAGAAAAAATTATTTAAACTGTATTTCTAATGTTTAGAACAGGCAAATCTACAAAGAAAATTCATCAGTGTTTAGGGTTGCATATTTGTATATGCAGAGGTTAGTAGGAAATAAAGAATAACTACTAATTGGAAGAGGATCTTTTTCAGGTGATAAAAATGTTCTAAGGTTATTTGCTGGTTGTACAACTCCATAAATGTACTATAAACCTTTGAACTGAATACTTCAAATGCGTGAGTAGGATGTTAATAAGTTATATCTCAATAAAGTTGATATCTGAATAATTGCATTGCCATACTCTCCACTCAGCTTAAACTATTTAGCACAAGCATACTCTATTTCAAAAAGCAGAAGTTAAATATAAATGGGTATGTGCCCAGCAAGTTGGTATATTCCCAAATTGAGTACTCAACTGTCGTGATGGGAAGACATAGTTCCTGAAAAGCCACATCATCCTTCAAAACCAAGAGTCTAATTCACTTTTATTTCTGTGAAACCACATTTAGTTTGTCACTGAGTTCGTGACATAATTAGACAGGAGGTCCAAATTATTTTGCAAGCTTTTTGTGCAAAGCAGAGAAAGGCACACAGTCTAGCCACTGAGGAGGGTAAGTTAATTTATCAAAAAGAATGAATATTTTTAGGAACACAAGAAAATAAGGCTTATTTATTTTGTTACGTTTTAACTTGTGGAGTTTTTTAGCATAATCACAACTTAATGCAAACACCAGGATTTTGCCCACCAGTGGCTAATATACACAAAACTATGTGAGTTACCAACAACTGGCACAAGGGAGGTATTAGCCTAACTTCTTGCACCTAAGGTAAAAACATGTCCTCTCTGCACTTAATGACTTTTGCTCTGAGAATCACCAATCTTGACAGCTTTGAATGCTGGAAGATGGTAACACCAGCTACCAATAATTGAGCAATGCCATGTTGCAGGCCCCAAGCTAAAAGCTTTTGATACATCCACTGCTTCCATTTCTCACTACCCTAGGAAGTCAGTGTAGCTATTCCCACTTTACAGAGGAGGAGCTCAGGCTTAGTAACATGCCCCAAATCAAGCAACAAATAAGTAATAGGGTCAAGATTTGACCTAAGAAATCCTAAAATTCTTCCATCCTCTATCACCTCTACAGAATAAAAGAAAAACAAAAGACTATTACAGAATCTTCTTGACTGAGACAACTATCAGGTCAGAAGAAAGGGTCCTAGGTGAATGAGTCCCCAGAAAGAGGCCAGGACAAGTCAGCACCAGAAACAACTGACTGCCAAGGCTCAATTCCATATCAAACAATAACTTTCTCCAAAGGCAAGATTTTTTTTAAACATGTGTCTCAGATTATTTTACTCTTTATCCTCTCTGTGTCCATGCCAAGAGTATATACTCAGAGAAAAAGTCCAAGGTGTTCATTTTTATGAAGTCCATCGCTCGCATCATATTCTGAAGGGAATTTGAATGCTAAATGTAGGAAAACCTGACTTAGGCTGATCTAGATGACAGTGCTGCTTTGGGGTTAAATGAAATATCCTTGGAATCTCACAATCTATGTTTAAATACCCTTAATTGCTATGTCACCTTGGATGGGTTACTGACCTCTCTGTCCCTCAGTTTCCTCATTCATAAAGCTGAAGTACTAGAACAATGACCTAGTTGAACTTTGCCTATCCCTGCAGGCCAGTTTCACTGTCTGATTCATACACAAAGGAAATCTAAATCCAAAGATCTGCAAATACTAGTTATAAATACAATCATAAAATAAAATCATAAAACCACTGTTACTTATGTAATTATGTATAATTATGTATTTATCCTTAAACTATACTGGAAAACCACTGCCTTTCCATTTACAGTAATGATAAAGATGATCTGAATAAAAATATCACAGAAGTACTAATATGGCAGTATAGTAGCAAGCACTCATCACAGAATGCCTGAAATCTAGGACAGTGATTGACCTCGCCTTCTTTATTGTAAGAATTTGCATGCCCTGCTAAAGTAGTAGTTAGTAGTAGTAGAGAAGTACTGTTAGTTGTAGAGCCAGATATAGAGAGACCAGAGCACCTAGTTTCCCATCACTCTTTCCCCTAAATTACAGGGCTGCTCCATTCCATTAGATAATTTAACTCCTGTACTCCATCACTACAATGCTTCCTAACTAAAGAATTCTTAGGGCTGCGGGTGTAGCTCTGTAGCAGAGCACTTGCCCAACATGTGCAAGGCCCTGAGTTCAATCCCCAGCACCACATAAATAAATACATACACACACACACACACACACACACACACACACACACACACACACATAGAATTCTTGCCTTCCCCAAAATAACCATAGGCAAATTGCCAGTCACCCAAATGAACCCATCTCAGATTCAATGCTAAGATGCAATTCCAAATTCTAGCATGCTTGGTCCAAAGGATTCCATCCTGAGCAAGGAGGATGCAGCAGGATCAAGAGCTCTGCAATGGCAGGAACTTCATTTCTGGCTCAGACCAGGTGGATGCAAAAGCTCTAACTCAGCTGCTAAAGATATGTGCCTCTGGGCTAATCCTTCCATCAAAGCTTCCCTTGGTTTTCCATTTGCAAAATAAATAAAAGTGCATGAGATAATTCATTGGTGAAGCAGTGCCTGACATAGAATACACATCTCTGTACCACACGGGTAGCAGAATATCACTGCTACATTTTCAGTGTCCAGTGCAGTACCCAGTACACAGCCAGCTTTCAACACGTTTGCTGAGTGAAGCAGAGGACTAATTAAAGCTGGCCTGAGGCTCAATCGAAATGCCTGAACTCAACTCATTAATGGGTCCCTAGTGCTACTTCAAACCAAGGTTGTGTGTCTGGGCCTCGGATTTAGCTCAGTGGTTCCGCCGCCTGCCTCAAAGTGTGAGGTCCCGAGTTTGATCCCAGGTACCATAAAAAAAAAACAAAAACAAAAAAACAAGGTTGTGTGTTTCCTAGATCAAGGATGATCCTCACCATTGACAGAGAAGACTCTGTTCCTATGCTTCACAGCCTCCTACAGGGTCCCTAGTCTCCTTCAGAGATCCTGTCCCTGGAAAGCCTCCTCATATCACAGTCCCGCAGTTCATATTCCACCCCCAAAAGACTGGCACTTGCTGCTGTGGAATTCTGTTGTCTCTTGCTTCATTTTTAGAAGAAACAGTTTCAAAAAATGGCACCTCAGGCAGTTGGCTTCTATAAAGTCTCCCATAGAGAGGCCTGGGACAACTCTCCCAGCTAGGATCCTACTCTGCAAAGGCAACCTTTCTAAACTGAAAAATATCACCTATTAGGAAATCTAGCATAGAGACAAGAAAAGGGTCAAAGACAATTTCATCAGATGGAATTAACTACTTTTAAATCGGTAGACTGAAAAGGCTCCGAAATACATTCTCACAAGGCAAAGTGTTCATCCCTAGAGCACTTTAATTGGCCAGAAGGAGAAATCCTTGGCTCTGCAAAACCTCAAGCAGAATACAAATTTCATTTCTTCCCTTCTACCAAGAGGGAAGAAATGGGTTTTTTTAAAAAGCCAAGAGGCCGGGGATTTAGCTCAGCGGTTCAACTGCCTTCCTCACCAGCGCAAGGTCCTGAGTTCGATCCCTGGTACAAAAAAAAACAGGCCAAGAACCTTTAAGATGAATTTAAGCTTCTCCTTTCTGAGGTACTGAAGACATTTCTCCTCAGACCTTTGAGGTTTCAAGGATAATAGGAGAGGTAAAACGTACAGCGACAAAGCAGAAAAGGGAGAGAGATGGGATATGTTCGTTCTATTTTTAAATGCTCGCCCACAGTTTAGAGTAAAGGAACACTCTGATTCTGTACTCCCACCCTTATCACCTTCTGCTAAACACAAGAATCGGAACCTGCACACGTACACGGCACTGGTTCTAGATCTGGGGGTTACTGGCTGCCAATACTCCAAGGAATTGGAAGCTAACCAACCATTCCACCCAGAAAATCCAGAGGCCCTCAGTATGCTGGAGGTGCCTACGGAAAGCGAAGCAGTCACCCCTGGCCTTTCCCCAGGGGGAGGCAGCGACCCCCTAGCACTCTTCATTCCCACGGCTGGGCACCCAAGGTTGAGCTTCTCTTCCCCTAAGGCAGCCAGAATCGTGGACGCGATGGGCTTCCCAGAGGGCTGCGGTAGTCTGGGCGCAATGGTCCCATTCCCGGGACACCTGTGTGCCGTGCGCACCCACCTGCCCCCCAAAGCACCACCCGCGCCCCGTCCCCTCCCGGCTATCCCGGGACGCAAACAGCTGGGCGACCCGTCTCCTTCCTCCTCTGGCGGAGACTGGCTCGGCCGCTTCGCGTATCCTTCCTGCCTCAAGCAGAAGCATCGACACCCGTCACCCAGTGCCCCGGAGCGAAACCGGCAGCGCGCGATCAGGATTTGGGCACCCCGCAGACCCCTCCTGCCCGGGTCCCCGTCTCCCCCAGGCTCGGGGCACTCACTCTTGAGCGCGACGATGAGTGACTTCCCGTCCTTGATGAGCTCCTTGATGAATTTATTGGTCTTGTCCAGCTCCGCTTCGTGGGACTTGAGCGTCTCTCGGAAGTGCGGGCTGTCGAGGCAGCAGTCGCTGAACTCGAGCGCGGGGAGCCCCATGCTGCCGGCGGCGCCCAGCCGAGGGGCGCGTCCCGGGACCTCGGCCGGCACCCTGGACGGCCGCTGGCTCCACAGGTGTGGCGCCGGCTCGCCCGGAGCGCGGGGTCTGCGGGCGCACCCGACTGTCGAGCCGAGCCGAAGGGCGGCTGCTCCCGCGGCGCGCAACGGGGCAGCGGGGGAGTAGGAAGCGCGGCGGCGGACCCGCAGCGGTGCTGGAAAACGAGCAAGCGGGTGCCGAGCACGGCCGCTGCCTCCCCGCCTCCTTCGCTGGCTTGCTTTCCTGCAGCCGCGAGCGCCCTCTCACAGCAGCCTCGGCCACCCCGCCGGCGTCCCAGCCGCTCGAACCTGCTAGCGATGACCTAATCCCTCCGGGCCAATCAGCGCACCCTCCTCAGTCCGACCCCCAGGGCCGCCAGGGGCCGCCCAGCCCTTCCGCGGGCTTGATCCAATCAGAGAGTCAGGAGGCGGAGCCTGGGTGGGGGCGGAGCCCACGCCACCCCTGGGTCTGCAGAGCAAGTACCGCCCTCTCCCGCCCGCGGGGTGTTGCAGACCCCGAGCCAGGGCGTGAGTGCTGCTGTGCAAGGTCTCTCCCCACCCTGGACCTTGCCGCCTGCTGTGGCCCTAATCCGAGCCGGAGATAGTCCGTCTGCTGGTCTAGGAAAGGAGGATGCCTAGATGTGCCCAGCATGAAAAAAATCTAGGCATCGCTGTAGCCAGCCCTGCACTGCTGGGCTACTGAGGTTACCCTCAAAAAAATGCAGCCCCCTGCCCCGGGACTGCCCTGAGCAGCACACACTCCTCTTTCAGTCAGGGAGAAAATGTTGTTCGCATTTTTAAATTACCAGCTCTTCTCACCTACAGTCTTCCCGCCCCTACAGTCTGTCCGCCCCTCGGCCGCTCCTGCTCAAAACCCGCCCACGGCCCCCCTTGCCGGGATCACACATCCTTAGAAGAATTTCAGCCGCTTGTTATTTTCCTGCTGGGCACCTAGAACCATTTTACACAATTACTTTCAATGCCTGTTTGTGCTTCGCTACTACACTGCGAGCTTCACGAGAACACGTGCCGCCAGTTTTCTCGCCTGCTCTTGCATCCCAGCACCTGGAAGTCGGCAGGCATTTGATAACGTATTGTGTGCTTACCATATGCTAACTGTGCTACTGTGCTTGAAAAATATTTGTGGCATAGGTGAGAGAACCCTTCCCCTGTCCCCTCTACCTCGCACCCCCAGCTCCTTGACCTTTGGTCCCTCTTTAGGACCCGCAGGCCTGGATCAGATCCCGACAGCTCCAGCTCACTCATCCTGCAGTTGTCAGGGTTAGAACCGCAGGGTTTCTAGTGCTCAACTGTGAACTCCTGGAGAACAGGGGCTGTCCTTGAATAATTATTTCCAAGTCCAGGTATTAGCAGCCCTCCAGTTGATTGTGTGTGTGTGTGTGTGTGTGTGTGTGTGTGTGTGTTTGGGTTTGCCTTTTTAAATAAATCTGCTATGTGCAGGCACTAGCTAGCCCACATGGAAGGGATACGAAGATGAACACGGAATTAACTTCACTCCCTCTGTTCTGGTTAAGACAGACGCAAACAAGTAGTTACAGTGCTGCCTGATAGGATGTAAGGCCTGGATGCCTGAAAGCTGCATCTATGTTGAAAAACTAGATCTATTTATTTAATGCATGGATGAATGAATGTGATCTATTTGCTAACTGTAGCTACAAATTTAGGCTTGACAGCAGAGCCAAACTGTTGCTAATTACAACCCTGAAAATAAATAGTCATTCCTCACTTGGGATGGATGAGAAAGATCAGGAATTGAAACTCCACGAAAGTAAAACTGTTTGATGCTTATCTTGAGCAACTCAAGGTAGGTGTTCAGGTTATCTATTGAGAGGGCTGGGGATTTAGGTCAGTGGTTCCACTGCTTGCCTCTTGCAAGCGCAAGGTCCCAAATTCAATCCCGGTACCAAAAAAACCCCTATCTATTAATGATACATAACAAATCAGATGAAAACTTAATGGTTTAAGGCAACACAATCATTTTCTTTTATAATCTCTGTGGATCAGGAATTTGGAGAGGACTGTCCTGTGATTGCAGTCAAATGGTCAGATGGTGACAGGAGCCAGAGAAGGGGTGGTTTGCTAGGCTTCTCCTCTTCAGGAAGAATCAGGGTCTCTCCATGTGGTCTCCCCTTGTGGTCTCTCCATGTGGTCTAGTTTAGGCTTCTTCTGAGCATAGCAGCCTCAGGGCTCCAGTATGATCATCCCAGAATTACCTTTTATGATCCAGCCTTGGAAGCAAGAGTACCTTCACTGCCTCTGAGCAAGTTACAGGCTTGTCCAGATTGAAGTGGGGGAGAGGTATTCGAATGTGTCTCTAGAGGGATGTGAGTCATTTCTGAAAAAAATGGAATCAATAATATTAAATGAATGAAAAAAAATGAAATACACAATTATTTGTTTCATCTCATTGAGGGCTATTGGGCAAATGTGTATATAATACACATGTAATTAATATGTGTATTGATAATAGATTAGCTATCATTAAACTTAGTTTGTACCAGGAACTATGCTTAATTTTTAAAATTGATTCACTCCCATAAACTGGTGCTATGATAATCCTCATCTTCCAAAATGAGAAATCGGGGCCCATAGATGTATCTTTAACCAAGATATATACTTAATAAATCTGTGTGGGACAAACATATAACGTAATATGCCCATTCAGAGAGAATAATGAAAGTATATAATGTGTACGTCTCATAAAATTAATTCCAAATTTGCACATAAGCTCTCCCATGCTTTCAGCAGTATTATCAGAAAAACAGAATCAGAAGGCAGCAGCACTGAGTACAGACTCTGGTACATGGAGGGTACAGTTGTCTCTCTCCTAGGAAAGCAGCTCCGTGAGGGTAGAGATTGCGTGGTGTTCAGTGCTGCAGCCCCAGCTTAGAAAAGCTACTGGTATCTTTCAAAGTTGCTCAACATCAATGGGAGGAGCACATGTTTAAGAAGGAAGGAACAGTGATTCATGTGACAACATAGGTTATGGCCATGCTGTACAAGTAGAACAGTTAAGACCAGAAATCACATGAGATAAGTTAGGCAACATTATTTGGCTTTAATTATTTGGCTGAAATTTCTGAATTCCTTCAAATTAGCCACAAAATTAGTCCAAATAGTTCTGCTTTCAATATCAGTGTATTTTAAATCCATATTATTTCTGACTTCAGTTGTCCAATTAGCTGAGCTGACTTCCCTAAATTTTTGTGGAGTTTTTGTTTGTTTTACTTTATTAAGCTTCCTCCTCACCCCCCCCCACCCCCACCCCCACACACTAGGAATCAAATCCTAGGCAAACACTCTTATCACTGAGCTACCCTGACTGCTTTCTGTAGTGGCTGCATTCTCAAGTGACTTCTCTAAATTTACATTCATCAATATTCAGTTACAGAGTTTTCCAAGAATTCCAGCAGAAATGACAGGATAGAAGCCAATGGTAAAACAGCCCCATTCAAACACATTAAACACTGGGAAATTTTTTTTCCCCAAAGGACAAGCAAAGTGCTAGTAACAGGGAAAGAGGGAATTGTTGCTGAATAGGCAGAACCAATAATGTACAGTGCACATGACCTGTCCACCAGCCTCCTCAAAGGCAATGTTCCTTCTGCTGCATTCCCATGGTTTCATAATTCTAGTCAGCACTTATCCATTCTTTTTTATGGTTGGTACCGTATGTTACTTTACACAGTGATTTTTCCTTTGTGTTATTACTGGTTAAGACATCAGGTTTCCTATTTTAAAATAATGATCTTAGGTTGATGTAAATGTTCTCTATCTCGATTATAGTGATGGTTACAGAAGCATCACATTTGGAAAACTTATGGGAGCATTTTATTATATGTAAATTATACCTCAATGAAGTTTGACTTTAAAAAGTAATGATGGTGGTGATGGTGAGATTGATTAGGTATTCGCTGTGTAGTAGGCACTGTGCTAAACACTTTATTACATTTCCTGTTTAACATTATCTACAGCCTGGCCCCTCCCTCAGTTGTGAGTGGAGCTGCAGGGCCATAGACCAAGATGCTACAGATGCCCAAGCACACAAGGCAGTGAGTAGTAGCTCTCCAAGACTGCAATCAAAAATGGCCTGCAGGGGGCCAGGGATTTAGTTCAGTGGTTCCACCACCTGCCCTGCAAGTGCAAGGTCCCAAGTTCGATCCCCGGTACCAAAAAAAAAAAAAAA